AAAAAAAAAAAAGGAAATATGTGGCTTTAAATTCACAATTTGTCAGGAGAGTATTCATAATGGAACCTTTTACAAATCTGTAACAGAAGGCTCTATAGTAAACTTACCAATTGTCAGATCAGATTATTATAGCTCTGGTCCTGGTTTAGCAATACTAAAATAAATTTATTTCTAGGTTTTGAACATTTTTTCTCTTCCAATCACATAGTTTCATAAATTTGTTCATCAGTATATGGCTCTGACTATTACCTAAGATGTTTCATGTCTAGTCTTTACCAAGATGAAATTTAGATTTTTTTCAAAGACAATGATCATTATATGCTTTTGATCTAATTTACTAAATGATTATATTTTTATACTAATTGATTATTAGAGATGATACATAAGTAAACATTGTTAAAATAAAATGGATAGTATAGATGTGTTTACAATTAAAATAATTTTCTATAGTCTTTCAAATTCTGTTATCTTCTGAGAGGAAGAGATTAAAAATAGAATATATTCAATAATTTGGTTAAATATGAACAAAGAAAACTGAGAGATTGAAATTAAGTATTTGATAAAATCTACTTTAAATTGCTTTTCCTTAAATAAAGTCTAGGCCAACCACAATAGTGCACCTTGTTTCTATGCAATAGATTTATTCAAATCAATGAAAAAGTTATTGCTATATATCATTGTTATTAAAACAAGCAACATAGAAAATCATCAGACTGTAGATTTTAATAATAGCTCCTGTTGAGTTCTAAATTAGAAGAGACTAAAAATCACTTGCAAGGTTTTATAATCTGTGCAAAAATTCATAAAGCATGATACTACTTTTATGATTAAAGACAATTTTACGTAGTTCTGTAGTATATATTCAAATCTACAACTGGCAGTTTATGGAAGAACAAGGAAAACTGCAAATTGCCTGGCTACATTTTTCAAGAAATAACATATATGCTAACAAATGAACCTATGTTTTATAATTACAAATGGCTTCTAAAAGATCAATAGTCTAGCACATTATGGCACTTAAGAATGAAGTATGAATGTTTTTAAGAAAAAAATATACACTGGTTTCCAGAAACTTTATAAAGAAATAGTGGGCAGGTTAAAAAAAAAAAAATCAAGGAAAAGAAAACAAAAAATAACTATAGTACCAAAAATGCAAGTACCAGGATCATAACAAAATGCAAGTTAATGTGTTTAAGACTGACAGACACTTACTAAAACATGCTAAAATAAAATAAGTTAACCACTTCTTTTAAATAAGCCATCACTGGCTACAGCCAACAATTCTGCTTTAAAAGATCATTTCTTTAATCAAAGTAGAACTAAATTTAGAACCACTACTCAAGTAAACATCGAGTTCCAGTTTTCCTCAATAACGATATTCAGTTACCTAAGAAATGTACAAAGTAAGGCATAACTGCCTAGTGCTTCATATTTAATGCATATATTTCTGCTTTTAAAAAGGACATGTAATATGTAGCACAAAAAAAGATCAGAAATGTATTTTTCCTTAAACCACTATTCAGGAACTATGGAAAGCAAAACACAGGCCATTTTGATAAGTTCTGGATGTTAGTATTAGTGCAATTGCTAACATTTTTAATAAGCACAAGTGAATCAAGCCAGTAAAAATGAAAAAGACTATCAACACATGTCATGCATATCTCATACTGAGCATCCCTAAGAACATTGGTTATAGCCTGTTATGGATCCTACAGTTAGCACCATTGTAATATCTGAACACTTCAAAAAAAGCAAAGATCCTTGAAAGCTAAAATTATAAAGATAGATGAAAAATTAATATGCACTAAGACTAAGAATTGTGCTAAACACTTCTCAAATATTTACATCAACCCTGGAAGCCTGCCGTGTAATTAATGCAAAACTTAAACAACTGATATGGTTAACTCTTTCCATCTATGCTTAGTATAGCATAGATGGGTAAATTCATCCAGCATTCATCTGCCCATATATAAAAGGCATGAACAGTAAATATCTGACTTTTCTTAAAACAGGGCCCCAAATATCCTGATAGTAAAAGCAACTGTCTTAACACCTGTTACATCCCCAGCCCTAAAGTCATTTCCCAGGAGAGTATTCAGATGAATCACTATGGCATATTTACAACCCTTAAAAGTACCAGAAAAAAAAAAGCAGCCCTTTGTTTGTTTTAAGACAAATAAAAAATGTGACGCATATGAATTTACATCCAACTGGCTTTTTCGGCTCTCTGTCCAATCATTCAGTCCTCTCTAGCATCTGAAACATCTCTCATCCTAATATCATAGTGCATATCAAGGAAGGAAGAAAGGAGAGCTGAACTTTTTTAAAAAAGCAGCAAGGTTTTCTATACTTAAGAACATAAAACTAGTCTATGCCAGTCTTAGAGGAAAAAGTGCACAATTCAATTGGTAAGGTCTTTTCCTTTTTTTTTTTTGATTATTGATTTACTATGTAATCAAGAGCAACCAAAACTATTTGTCAATTCAAAGTACCAACAAAACTTTGAGTCTTCATGCCACTTCAAGTTAAAAAGCAAGCAATGCAGCTTGTGGGTCTCACAAAGCTGGGCATCCTTTCATGCGGTACAAGTTTCACGACCACGCCATTTCCAGGAGTCCCACTGGTCAGAGTGCAGTTAGTCCAAAGTTGCAGCGACAGTATATCATGCCTGCTGAATCCAGCCAAGTGTCTGAGATAGGGTCATATTTCTGCACTGTATTCAAATAGGAAGACCCTGAGTGCCCACCAACTACATAAAGGTAGTTATCAATTACTGCAGCACCAACTCCTAGGAAAGGTCAAAGAGGAAAGAAAACATGTTAACCAGGAAGTATACTTTTCCTCCCCCCCCCAAAATAAACAAATTTGCATTTTAAGTTTTCTTGAACATCACTAAACAGATAAAGGGGGGCTTACTGTAGTAATATGTATTTGCTAGAAAAAAAGTCTCTTTAATATAAAAGTCTTCTTTCACCTGTCCTTTCCAATTCTACTCTTCTCTCCTCTCTATA